CCCCCCGGAGCCTTCTCTTCCCCAAGCTGAACAAGCCCAATTCTCTCAGCCTGTCCCCATAGGAGGAGTGCTGCAGCTCTCTAATCGTCTTCTTGGCATCCTCTGGAGTCACTCCAGTCAGTTGATACCCTTCCAGTGTGGGTTCCAGAGCTGAATGCAGAACTGCAGGTAGGGTCTCACAAGAGCAGAGTAGAGCGGGAGAATCCCCTCCCTCAGCCTTCTGGCCACACTCCTCTGGATACAGCCCAGGATCTGATTGGTTTCTGGACTACCAGTGCACTCTGACAGCTCATGTCCAGCTTTTCAACCACCAGTACCCCCAAGTCCTTCTCCTCAGGGCTCCTCTCTATCCATTCTCTGCCCAGCCTGTACTTGTGCTTTACACAGCTTTGTTCTTTTTGCCAGTACTAACCTATTCCATATTCCTTCCCCTTTTTTTCCAGCTACTACTTCAAGCTTTGTCATTTCCACACCCTCTTTCCATCATCTGTTTTGCGTTTTATTTAGTGATCATCATAAACTGTGTGTTTTTATAGTGGTCAGTATATTGGTCAAATTTTGGAGACATAGCAAGGTTGTCTTTAAACTCTGTTCTCACTGCATTAGCAACCCTGATTATTCTTGTATTGTTGTTTCTTGTTTCATTTTCACTAATACAACTTTTGCTGGCTTGCTTTTTTCATCTTACTAGAAAATCCTTAACTTACTTTTTTAGATGTTTGTGTGGTTTGAAGGGAGTGTTTTTGTTCATTTGTTTAAGCTATTTAGCAGATTTCTTCCCTACAAGTCATGTTTGTCCCCAAAGTCTTAAGCATATCTTAACAAAAAAGCTTTTGGTTTAGGTTCTGCTCAATTTTGGAGACTGATGTAGTAGTCCAGCCAGTATCATATTTCTGACTTTTTGGCTCAGTACTGTGATGTCTGAAACTTTCTCTGAAGACTATGTTTTTAATTTAAAGCATATAGACTAATAATCTAATTGTTGTTTTTCTACTGTATCCTCTGACTTGAAACAGATTTCATGGCTAGAATATTCTTTCCCCTTATCCTTGCTTTTTTTTAATCATTTAGTTTGTATAATTTTGCTGCTGACATGGTTGAGAGGTGTTGGGTTTTATTTTAATTACCAAAAAATTCAGTTAGGATGCAGCATCTGAATCTCCGAAGGGCTGTGGAAGGACTGAATTTTTGTCTCACTGCTGTGTGCTCACTTGCCTTCTGGCTCTGCCTAGGATTTCCAGGGTGTCAAGCAGAACAGGTTCCCTGCAGTGTGTGCACATGTGAAGTTTCTGGGTCAGGGAAGAACAACCAGAGTTAAGGGTCCTCTGAGACTGAGGAGTCTGCTTGGCTCAGCTGCTATCAACCAGTAAATTCAATACAGGGTTTTAAATGACCTCAGTCAAAATCACTTTTTGAAAGGTTTCTTTTTTTTTTTTTAAGGGAACACCACTTTTTCTGGAGATCTAATTCAACATAATCTTTACTCAAATAGTATTTGTGGAATGAGTGAATTTGATAACCCCAGACTATAAAGTTGGCTGAATAGTCCTCATCCTCTAACCTCCGTTTCTTGTAAAGTTGATTGAAAGCACATGCATAGAGCGTTACAGATGATGTGTGGTATTGCAGGGAATGAATGTGCATCACTGTTCCAGTGCAAATGTTACTTTGTCTGCATCTCTCCAAGCCTCATCCCAAATATAAGTTAGTAATGAGGTGCTCTTGAATACTTGAATTTTCCTATTTTTGTCAAGATGAACTGCCAACCAGCAAAAACGTTTTTCAATTACCATGTGGGTTTTATGATATTTTGGTGTTATGTGTCTTTCCTTTCCCTATCCCTAGGCATAGAAAATCTTTCTTGTGTTTTCTGTTATTTTAGTCTTTATTTTCAGTAAAGAAGATAAAGGAATGATTGACTTCAATTTATTTTTTTTATGTTCTGCCTGTCCTGCTTCCACTCAACCTGTTACAGTTTCTCTGTATCACATTCATTACCTGTGGCACTCCTGTTATTTTTCTCCTTTTCCCTTGAGGGTTTATGACCCCCTTGACTTCCCCAAAACCTTGCCCAATTCTACTTCAGTTATCAGTCCCATTTCCTGGTATGTCTTAATAGCACCATCTTACTTCTCTGTATTTCCATCTTAGACACATTCCTTGATCTCCACTTCCCCGAGACCTCAGGGAATATAGAGTACAAGTAAAACACAAAACATAACCTCCCACCAAACCAGCTCTAACTGTTTTCAGTTCCGTGTGGCATGTATACTGAGTTACGTTTTTGAAAGTTAGCGAGGACTCGGTGAAATGGGTGTCTGATACTAATGACAGACAGCTCGCAGTTGTTTCAGGGAAATTTAGTGCTTGGTTATTTCTTTTTCTGTAATGGAATGCAGGTTTGCCGGAGCAAATCCTGTCAGTAACATCACAGATCAGCTGCCCTTGGGGCACAGCTCTTAGATTTCTGGAAAAGGGAACTGTGGAATGTAGTACTGATTCTACTGATGATGATCTCCTAGATTGAGGAGCCACAAGGAGAAGCCCAGATGAGAGTTTAAGAAAAATAGCAAAGGTAAAAGGAAAAGAAGAAAGAAAAAAAAAAAAAATTAAAACCCATCTCGGAACAGCAGAGACTCCTTTTTACCTCTTGACAGTGTACTGTTCTGCTGCTGTGTGTAGTTGAAATATGCACCTTTTAGGTCTATTGCAAAGCGACCAGACTGGATGTGATTCTGAGTGAACTGTCTTTCTAATAAGTTAGAAGTTGATTGACATAACTTATATCTAAATGTTGGGGTTTGACTTGCTCTGAAAAGACATTTTTGGCCCAGTTTAGCAGTGAAGTAATTAGGAGGGGCACGCATAAAGACATGCCTAATTCTACCGGTCATTTTATCAGCGTATTTAAGGAAGTAAATATGGTGAGTAGAAGTCTTTTCTGTAGAAGACAGAAAACTTGTCCGATGCTGAGGTGAAGTTCTGTTGAGTCATTGTGAAAACCTTAGAGAACTTTCAGTGAACAGAATAGCTGTCACATAAAGAAAAAAGCAGCGTGGAG